TGGCAAACAGCCAATCCTGTGTTCTGGATTATTCACAGGCGGGGGGGGGGGGGGGCAGAACAGGGCTGAAATGAGTAAATTGACATTTGAAATTAGAGAACAAGAAGATGAACAATTTTATAAGGTATGGGATTTGTTCTATCAGTGGTTAGATTAAAAAACATGGAAATGAAAAATGTTGTAGAATTTTTTATACCGTAAGAATAGTAGAATGATATAGGTGATATCATAAAGGCATATTACTATTAAATAGACTAAGAATATGCAATAGAATGTTGGTATATATATGAATCCAATATCTAGAATATTTTGTTTAAAATGAAGGAATAAAAATTGTAGCTGAACAAATGATGTATAATGATAATAATGTACCTATGTATATTCCTTGCTTCTAGTTCTTGTACTTGTACTTGCTACTTCTTCTTCCTGAAGGCTAAGGAGCACTGGGATATTGTTATTAAGCCATCCCAGGCACCATTAGCAGCTGCAGATCAAAGGCAGCGCACTGGCCTACATCATCTTAAGTTTAGAAAATGAACAATTCTTGAATATAGCTGATTTACAAACTACAAAGGAGGTTTGGCTGAAATTGAGAAGTGAGTGAGCAGTTCTTGAGATAATTGTACAGATCCTGGCTGCTACCACAAGAGAGTGTAGAGAAGCATTTTCTGCACATGCAGACTCTACTTTTTGAATTAGAACAGCATGGAATGCAGATTCCTGAATCTCAGAAAGTGCTGTTAGTGTTAAATAGTCTTGATGAAACGTGGGACATTGATTCAGCCATTTTTTAATGCAAACCAAAACAGGAATTACGAATGGAAGCCCTTAAAAACCTGTTTGATTTCTGAATAACAAAAACACCATTTTAGAAGAAGCCATGAGGAGAAATTCCTGATGTGGGGGCCCTAGGAGCAGAGAGAGAAGAGCAACTTACTCTACTCCATAACATATTTATTCTAATCCACCTAAGCAAACAGATTTGATGTTAAAAAGGAGTTACTGTATTGACCAAATATATTTTTTATTCATTTTTGAACAGATTTTCCTTTGGATTATGATATAAGAGAAGAAAAATCTTCAAAAAATCTACTTGGTTCTGCCACAAGTGAGTATACTAAAATCTACTTTTCAACGTCTTAAAATGTTAAAATATGGTGTCTCTTACCAGGTCATGGTACAGATGTGTTTTGATATGTTTAGATATCTTGCGGGGGCGGGAGGCTGTGGAATGTTTATTGGTAAATAAGAAACTTATTTTTATGCTTTTGTTATTTGGTTGTTTTAATCTGATTTATGAATGAGGGATATGTAAATTGCTCCTGGGGAGGAAAGCTATGGCAAATCTAGACAGCATACTAAAAATCAGAGACATCACCCTGCCAACAAAAGTGTGTATAGTCAAGGCTATGGTTTTCCCAGTTGCAATGTATGGCTGTGAAAGTTGGACCATAAGAAAGGCTGAGCGCCAAAGAATTGAGGCCTTTGAACTATGGTGAGGAGAAGACTCCTGCGAGTCCCTTAGACTGCAAGGTGATCAAACTGGTCAGTCTTAGAGGCGATCAACCCTGACTGCCTTTTAGAAGGCGAGATCCTGAAGATGATCCTCAAATCCTCAAATACCTAATGAGAAGAAGGAGAAGAGCCTAATGCTGGGAAAGATTGAGGGCAAAAGAAGAATGGGATGACAGAGAATGAGGTGGCTGGATGGAGTCATTGAAGCAGTTGGCGGGAGCTTAAATGGACCAGAGGATGGTAGTGGACAGGAAGGCCTGGAGGAACGTTGTCGGACACAACTTCTCAATTAACAACAATAACAATAAAATTACTTCGAAAGAGGCAGTGATTAGAATGGCATAAACCCAGATAAAATCACTTTGGGTAAGAGTCTAGAAAATTGTTTCAGGATGCTGTACTTTGTGTATATTAGACATTTTAATAGCTTTCCAAGCATTCTCTGCTTTAAAATTTATCTTTCATTGGGAATATGACCACTTTCAGAACACAATGAATCCTAAACTTTATTTTTCAGCATTACTTTGGATTCATTTCAATTGTTTGATTCTTATCCAACCTATTAATATAACTTAGTTAATGTTCTATATTATTGATAACTCTTAATGAACAATAGAAATTTCTGTTGTCATCATATTCATGGCATTTCACTTTAATATTCTTGGTACACAGTTGACTTACCTCCGGAGACAAACACTGTGGGGGTAAGACACCCCTGGTCTGTATCTGTGCGTCTGTATGTGTATAACTCTGGAAAGCCTGGGCCTTTAAGGAGAGCACTTGTGGTATCCTAGACTGGCAATTGTTCATCATGGAAGGGGGAAGGGAGCCTGATTAAGCCAGTACAGAGGGCTTTGATTGAACGTGCCATGGCCTAAGCAGATCGCCCGCCCCCACCTCACTGCGGTGACCCAATCTCACAGGAAACAGCTTCAGCCTGTGTTCCCAGGAGCATCCTTCACTCCAGCTCAAGCCTAGGCTTCCCTCATACAGTAGGCCTACAAAGCAAAGGGAGCCTGATTAGGCCAGTACAGAGGCCTTTGATTGAACATGCTCCCTCACACAGTAGGCATATGAAGGGAGCCTGGTTAGGCTGGTACAGAGGCCTTTGATTGACCGTTGTCCCTCACACAGTGGGCCTTTAAGGCCTAGGCCTTCTTCACATAGTAGGCCTACAAAGTGCCAGGATTGTAGACAGGGTGGGAAAGAGGAGCACATGGGAGGAGGAAGGGAGGGGGCAGGGATGATGGCATGGGAGCAAAGGACGAAAAGCCCCTTTCAATGGCTCCCTGTCAAACAAGCGCTTTGGGGCAAAGTGCCAGGATTGTAGACAGGGTGGGAAAGAGGAGGGCATGGGAGGGGGAAGGGAGAGGGCAGGGATGGTGGGCATGGGAGTAGGGGGAAGGAAGGCCCCTCTCAATGGCTCCCTGTCAGGCAAACACTTCGACGTCTATAAATACCCAGGCAGCGCCAGGTCATCAGCTGTATATAAAATACAGATAATTGGCAGAATTCTTTAAAAGATTGCAGACCAATAACTGAAATACCAAACAATTTCTCCTTAGTTCTAAGTTGGATCTTTCTTTAATGATCTTCCACCAATTACTTCTTGTCCTGCACTCAGGTGATTTAGAGAATTTTGACTCCCTCGTCTCTGGGACTGCTGGAAAACAACTGTCATATCACTCTTTATTCTTCTCTTCAATAAGCTAGACATACCTAGTTCCCTTAACGCAGCAGCCCCCAACTTTTTGGGCATCAGGGACTTGTTCCATGGAGAAAGGTTTTTCTGCAGACCAGAGGAGGTGTGGTTTCATGTGCTGCCTGCATCCTGCAGGTGGGGTTTCTCTTGTTTGTGTGGCCCAGTTTCTGGCATGCCACAGACCGGTGCGTGTCCACAGACCAGGGGTTAGGGACTCCTGCCTTAATGGATTAGTCTCCAGAACTCTTATCTTTGTTGTTCTTTTCTGTACTCTTTTTAGAATGTCAGCATCTTTTTTGTTCTGTGGCAACCAGAACAGGATGCAATATGTCAAATATGGCCTCACTTCTACAGTATATAGTGGCCCTAGTTCTTCATGTAATCTTGATGTTATCCCTTTGTTGATGCAGCCTCGGTCTTCATTGATTTATTTTTGGCAACTGCAGCATGCTGCTGGTTCATATCTAAGTAGTGATTCACCAGGACACCTAGATCCCTCTCATAATTACTACTGTTGCACTAGGTACCACCTATTCTATACCTGTACATTTGATTTTTCCTGCCTAGGTATAGGACCTTACTTTTCTCATCACTGAACTACATCTTGTTGTATAGGGCCCAATGCTTAGTCTGTCAAAATAACAGAGTTGGAAGGACTTTGGAGGTCTCTAATCCAATCCCCTGTTCAAGCAGGAGACCATATACCATTTCAGACAAATGACTGTCCAATCTCTTTTGGACTCCAGTAATGGAGCACCACAATTTCTGAAAGCAAGCCGTTCCACTGCTTTATTGTTGTCATTGACAGAATATTTCTCTTTACTTCTAGGTTGCTCCTCCTCTTATTTAATTTCCAAGCATTGCTTCTTGTCTTTTCTTCTGGTGCTTCTTCTCTTCTTTGTGGCAGCCCCTCAAAAATTAGCACTTAGACTTATATACCATTTCACACTGCTTTACAGCCCTCTCTAAGTGGTTTATAGAATCAGCATATTGCTCTCATCAATCTGGGGAGGAGGAGCCAACGTCGTGACGAGACGACGTGGAATCTCAATGCTCTGAGATTGCCGCTGATACTTTTGCCGATGGGTGGTCCAAACGGACTTAAACAGTTCCGCAGAGACAATGAACGGAAAGAATACATCCTGCTGATCTCAGGGACAACACAAAGTCCCTGATCGATCCAGGAGAAGTTCTTCTAGCTGGCGACAAAAGCACAGCCCCTAGGTTGATGAAGTTGGGATGGCTCCGAAACGGAAGGATATGGAAAGCGAAAGTGTTTTCAGCTGGTGAGAAATTTTTACTGTTTTAAAAGAGACTGCCTATAAAAAACTTAAAGTTAATTTAAATTTGAGAACAGAAGAAATAAGCAGTGGAATTAAGCTTTGAATGGATTTGGACAGTGGGTTATCTTACTTTTTAAATGCTATTTTCATGGATGGAATTTATGCAAGCCTTTTAAAACGAATGGATTAAGTTTTCTTCTATCTTTTTTATTATTATTTTTTGCAACCTATGGACTAAAATTCTCCTTCTTCATTACTGCGTGTGTTTTTCCCTTTTTCTTCTCTATTTCATTCAAGAATTTGACTTTTTTTTAACTTGGAATAAAAAAAGATACAAATAGCAACAAAGAAAATTGTAGCAACAGAGGGGAAGACGACACTGCTACTCGGAGGCTGGAGGTTTGTGTATTGGAAACAAAACATTTTTACTTTCCTCACTGATTATTCTGGCTTGGCA